ATTTAAAATCAGAGAAAATTTTGAATGGCCCCTAACATAATTATAATTATAACGTAAGAACGGTAGACATCTGGCCAAACGATCGGGCCCCGGTTTGAATTGTTTTGCAGGGCGTATGGTTGGATAGGACACGACTACTGTCTATGCACCGTCTAAAACGAAGAACACTTAATAAACAAGTCGGCATTTCAATGATCCCTTCTCAACAACTTAAAGGTGGCATTATTACCGTTTTTAGCTGCGAAAAAGCAGTTCAACAAATTCATCATAATTATGTCGCTCCGTTAGTTCGTTAGTTAGTAACAAACGTTGACATCGCCGGTGGCTCCTGCATATTTTGACAGATTTCAACCAAACTTTGTCAAAAGTGTCAGTATATCACGACCAAAGTGGGGTCAAAGATCATTATGGGAACACTGGGGTCAAAAACCCTATTTTGTAGAAAAAACCTCAACACGTACACTATTCCTTCCAGACATTACATGGCACAATTACGTACATGACTCATGCATGAACACGAATTCGTTGGCCCCCACCTTCCCAGATATTTTTGATCATGCTTGTTGTATTTTTCCCCGTTTGAAGCCATACAATAATTATTGCTCAAAATCTTTAGCAGGGTGCACAACAAACATGTGTGGAAGTTTTAGCTGAGTGGCCACTATGTTGAGAAAACAGAGAAAAGATTTGCACATTTTGGGTATCGTAAGATGATTTATGATCCCTTTGCTCACGCACATAGCCGAGTATTTATGAGGGAATATTAGTCTTTTTAAAGGTGACTGTCATATGTTCCGACGACTCTCTATGTTTCCACACGCCTATGTTACGACAACTTTCACATACGATTGTGTTACTCCCGGTTGGGGCTAGGGATACTTGTATCGGCACCCGTCGTTCCCTTTGGGCCACCAGCTGCGTGGAGAGGGGGGGTCTGCTGCCTGGACAACAGCTAGCCCTCTTAATGTACCTGCCCAGACTACGTAGCTCCACTGGAGAGGACACTCCAGCGTCACCGCAATGTGCCGACTCAACACGGGAAGTGAGCAGTTACTGGTTCTAAGCCCAACCTATTGGCGAAGGTAAACGGGCGCCAGGGGCCACTTCCGTCGGCGGGAGGGACCGTTGTAGTCCCACTGAACAGCTACCGCCTGCCTCAAGCTGGGCAGCCCCCAGCCAGTTAGGTGTTGTTCTGCCATGGCTTGCCTACTCCATCGGGTGCTTGGAAAGTAGAGACTCATCTCGAAAAGGGAGCCATAAAACCCCCGCACCAGGCAAAACTACTACAAAAACAAAATGTATAGAAAAGAAGCTCTTCGCTTCGCAAGCTCTTCGCTTCGCAAGCTGGAATGTCAGGACCTTGTGTCCTGAACTCGCTGCTGACCTGCAGCAAATTGACGACGCGAGGAAGACTGCAGTCGTCGACAAATAACTATTTCGGCTAAACGTCGACAAAGCCTGTCTTCAGGAGACTCGAGTGGCTGACAACGGTACCATCAGAGAAGTGAGCTACACATTCTTCTGGCAAGGCATATCTACAGATGAACCTCGTCAGCATGGGGTTGGATTTGCTGTCAGAAACACGCTTGTCGCCTCCATTGAACCCCCTTCATCAGGTAATGAGAGAATCATCTCACTTCGGCTGTCCACATCCTCTAGCCCTGCCACCATCCTCAGTGTGTACCCTCTATTCAACCCCTGAGGAAAAAGACCGGTTTTACGAGGCGCTGAATGAAGTAATATCTAGGATTCCCAGCACAAGTACACTAGCGGCACTTAAGGCCGCCAGGAAAACATCCCAACAGACCGCCCGCAGATGCGCCAACACCTACTGGCGGGATTTCTGTGGCAGCATCCAAACAGCCGCCGAAACAGGGAACGCAAGAGGGATGTACGATGGCATCAGAAAGGCGACAGGCCCCACCCCTACTAAGTCTGCCCGCTCAAGTCCAAGTCAGGTGAAGTGATCACCGACCAAGGAAAGCAACTAGAGCGCTGAGTGGAGCACTACCTCGAGCTGTATGCGACCCAGAACGTTGTCACCGACCCTGCCATCCTGGACTTGCTGGTGATGGAGGAGCTGGACACGCCGCCCACAGAAGAGGAGCTCGGCAAAGCCATCGTCTGCCTCGCCGGCAGGAAGGCTCTAGGGAGCGAAGGCATCCCTGCAGAAGTCCTAAAGAGCGGGAAACCTGTGCTGCTCCAGCCCTTTGACGAACTGCTCTGCCAATGCTGGGAGGAGGGACACATTCCCCAGGACATGCGAGACGCTAACATCGTCACCCTGTATAAGAACAAGGGAGACAGAAGCGACTGCAACAGCTACCGCGGGATCTCCCTCCTCAGCATCGTGGGAAAGGTCTTCGCCCGGGTCGTTCTGACACGCCTTCAGACCCTCGCCTCCCGTGTCTACCCGGAGTCCCAGTGCGGCTTCCGTGCTGGCCGGTCAACGGTGGACAGGGTATTCTCACTGCACCAGCTCCAAGAGAAGTGCCAAGAGCAGCAATTGCCTCTCTACCTCGCCTTCATTGACCTGACGAAGGCGTTTGACCTGGTCAGCAGGAGCGGAATATTCAGGCTTCTCCAGAAGATCGGCTGCCCCCCCCCCCAACACACCTCCTTGCTGTCGTTACCTCGTTTCACGAGAACATGCACAGCACAGTCTGCTCCAACGGCGCTACGTCCGAGGCATTCCTAGCAGTGGCGTGAAGCAGGGGTGTGTGCTTGCGCCGACGCTCTTTGGCATATTCTTCTCGATGCTCCTCCAGTGCGACTTCAAGGACTGCAGCGAGGGTGTGTATATCCGGACTAGGGCTGATGGCAGGCTCTTTAACATCGCCCGTCTCCGTGCCAAGACCATGGTGACAGAGGTTCTCATCCGCAAGATGCTCTTTGCCGATGATGCAGCCCTGACGGCACACACGGAAAAAAGGTCTAGGCAGCTTGTCAGTTGCCTCTCCCACGCCTGCAAGGAGTTCGGACTGACATCAGTCTAAAGAAGTCTAACGTCATGGCGCAGGGTGATCACCCCCGACAGACCAACCATCACCATCGACGGGCAAGTTCTGGATGCTGTTGACTACTTCACCTACCTCGGGTCCACCATTTCAAGCTCGCTCACCCTAGAAACGGAGGTGAACAGCAGGATCGCCAAGGCTACTGCAGTTATGGCTAAGCTGAACCAGAGAGTCTGGAACAACGCCAGCCTCACGGAGAAGACCAAGCTGCGCGCCTACCAGGCCTGTGTGCTCAGTACCCTTCTCTACAGCAGCGAGGCTTGGACTACCTATGCAAGGCATGCGAAGAAACTCAACAGCTTCCACTTAAGGTGTCTGCGACGCATCTTGCACATCCACTGACAGGACAAGGTACCAAACACTGAGGTTCTGGAGCGACCCGTGATGAACAGCATGCTTGCTATCCTCAGGGAGAGACGCCTGCGCTGGCTCGGCAATGTCAGACGGATGGAACCTGTTCGCATCCCCGAGGATCTCCTGTACGGCGAACTAGCTGAGGGTGTTCGACAAATCGGGCGCCAGCACTTCCGCTTATGGGACGTCTTATGAGACCTGAAGCTCTGTGGCATCGACGTCGCCTCATGGGAGACGCTGGATGAAGATCGCCCATCCGGTGTGCATACAGCCGAGGATGTGAGAAATGCGGCTCTCTCAGAGAAGAGATCAAGGCGGAAGGAAAAAGAACGCCAGCCGCAGCAGTAAATGCTCCAAGTGCAACAGAGAGTGCCTCGCACGGGTGCGGCTGTTCAGCCACTCGCGGAAGTGTAACAACCAATGAGATCCACGGAGTCACTCCATCGTCTCTCGAAGACGGAAGGATGCCGACGACGACAAGTTGGTTGGTGTGTTTGTCCGTGAACAGGATAACTCAAAAAGCTCTGGACGGATTTTCATAAAATTTATTTTTAGGGGAGGTCCTTGTTTTTTTAAAGTGATCCAGATCTGCGTCTGGATGCATTTTTTTAAATGTATTTTTCAGCCATCATATGGAAACTATTTCACCAGATCGCTCTGTGTGACCAGCTGCATGTGCGAGGCACTGACCCGGTGACCCTGTATGCCTTATCACCCACCTAATTTAACCACACAGGTCAATGGACTGGACCATTTTACAGGGGAGTGGAAAGGTAGACCAACACAGGCATATACAAGCAGAGGTACAAGTATAAATCGATTCGATTTTGTTTAGCATTGGCGGAGGTGTCGCTCTCCGAGTGCTTTCTATAAAAGAGTGCTTCCATGACACCCTGGGTCATGCACAAATCCTGTCACTAGTGTCAAAGTCTGGCTTGCACTTTTGCAACATCTCATCTTGTCTCAATATGAAGGCACGTTAACCCTAAAGGGGCCGGGTTATTTTGACCATCTTTCAGCCGGGGGGGGCGGATTCCGCCACCCCCCCCCCCTAAGATCTCGGCCATCGAGTGACGAAACATGTTGAAACCCGGTACATGCATAGAGCAACTCTTCATGAACATACCCACGAAAGGTCAAAGGGTTTTGGAATTATGGCTAATTAATTATTCATATGTATGAATGACAATTCTGGTCTGTGTACATGACGTATATGGGAAAATTCAGTTTTCACGGCGCATGGCGCCGGAAAAAAAATTCGCTTCTCGACTACCCCTGGTCCGATGTTTATGTTTTTGGTGTCAAAAGATGCGCAAGGCTCGAGGGTAAAAAGTTATTAAAGGTCGGGTCGCGAAAAGAAAATGTTTAAAGGCTATCGCCGAAAAAGTCGAGGGGGGGGGGGAGGATTCCGCCCCCCCCGGCCTTTTCAGGGTTAAACTGTAACTCTATGTATCTTCATTCCTCTATTTAAGATTGGTCAACCGTTCTCAGTTAGTTTACTGTTTTAATACAACAAATTAATGACGGAACGAAATACATTCTTGTATAATCGCTTATTTAATTATCGCAGGTTATAAGGTCAACAGCTACAAAACTAGAAAAATATTAAAATTGAACGAATGTGACAATTATACCAGACAGACTCCGGTGATTTAGGCTAAGACGTATCAAGACAAATGTAGGCCTGAACATAGAGCAAGGAATTATACATGGCATAGTAATTTTACTAGAGTACACTGCATCATTTTATCCAAGCATTGCCCCGTTCCATATAACGCTCAACATCAACCAAACTCATCGAAGATGTGAATAATTATCATCAGTTATTCCTATCTCAATCCACACGAATATACACAGATTAACAAAAGCTCAAGCCTTTTCTATCATCACCTTCAGTACTTTCTATCATCACCTTCTGTATGATTGCCTGGTACGGTACCCTAGGAGCGATGGACAGACACAGACTGGAACGTGTCACCAAATTGTCCTCCAAAACAATTGGCCTGGACATTAAGAATTTACATTGTATGTTTGAATCTGCAATTATCTCTAAGCTACAAGACATAATGCAAGATCCTTCCCATCCGCTCCATTCTTCGGTGTTTTTATTGTAAAGAACTCTTTTTAATTGTGTCTTTTACTAGGTTCCTTGTTCTAACAATCTGGTGTTTTTATTTGATGGATGACAACTTTGTAATTTTTGATAAACAATTTTTCTGTAAATATAGTTTGTCATTGTGTTAATATCTTATAGTACCTTTTGTTTTTTACATCTAATTCTATTTATTTTACATTCGTATATCTGTGGTCTTATTGTACATGTATAATGGACACTGGAAATCAATTTCATGTTTTTTTTACGTGACGAGTATAATAAATTGAATTGAATTGAATTGAATTGGGTAGAAAGGTACGCCACGCTATGGGGCGCCTAAACTGACATTATACAAAAAAAAGAATAAAATACAGTATTCCCAATCACATTGTTTCCAATTATCCATATCGCAGAGAAAGAAATGTACATATTTGATGCATGTGATATGATAATACATGTAGAATAATGACAAGACTAGGTGATGTATTAGGTGAAGTTCTGTAGGTCATGTTCCACGCTCCATATGTACAGTAATCAAGTAACCATGGGAGGTATAGGTCAAAGGTTATATGAATATGCATGGCCCATTAAAATGCATAGGGGAATATTTCATGGTATTATACGCTATACTTCTATTATCACATCAAATCACATCAAATCAACTTGTGCAATTTTGTCCAATTACAAGATGGACGCAAAACGCGCAAAATCTGAGACAAACAAGCTTAACATACACAGATTCCATAGGTTTGTCTAAAGGGCGTGGCTAACTCGCAAACGGTAATAGGTCAATTGGCAGGATTTCATTAATCTATGTCTCCTCGTTTGAATATATTTATTTTATATTCGCTCAGGAATTAACGTCATTTTGTACATATTACAAATCCATTCTGAGAGTTTTGATTTGATGATATTTGTTTTGTCCACAGACCCGGCCATTGGTGATTTTGACTGGAATAAATTGTGCATTTGGTTGACATTGTTTGCATCCATTGAACGAATACAATGCATAGAAATCAGCAGTTTAAATAACTAAGAAAGTAAAAAAAAAAAAAGTGTAAACACATTTCTACTAATCTTGACACGAAAAAAATAAGGTAAGTATGAATCCTAAGATCACCAGGCCTTGCCAAAGGTCAAGATTGACAGATGTCTGGATGACAATACGCATGCGCACCGGCTCAGAGCCCAATTTCACGAAGTCATTAAATAGAAACATTACTACTTAGCATGGTTATGTATAAGCTAAGTAACATCCCCTAAGAAACAGTTCCAAAGCAATGTACAACTCGCCATGCATTTTGCAGTGCAATAGCCTTTTTTTTTCTTTTTTGTAATTGTTTTTGTGGTTTGCTTTGTAAACAATTCCTGAGGTAATTAAATGTGTGTGCTTAGTGACTTCATGATATTGGCTGTGGGTCTAAACTAGTACAAGACTACACCTACAACTTGAGTTAAATGCTCGAGTTAAAAAATGGGAGAATTTACGGTGCGCGCGAGAGAACACTAGACAGTTTAGAACACCAATGCGCAGAGCGGCGCAAGGATAAGCGCAATACTTAATTGAATCAGCGCAGCGTTGTTGCACAGCGCCCCCTCGCAGCTTGTCTGAGTCGTTGTTTGTCCTGCTGCTTCCATGCCGTTGCACAGCGCCCCCTCGCAGCTTGTCTGAGGCGTTGTCTGTCCTGCTGCTTCCATGCCGTTGCACAGCGCCCCCTCGCAGCACGTCTGAGTTAGTGTCTGCCCTGCTACTACTTCGAAGCCGTCTAAGTCAATACAAGGTCCTTCCACAGCCTTGTTTTGACACCCGCGCAAGTACAAAGTCATTTGTGGTGTAATGTCAGTAGCAGCCATTTCCATATGTGCGATCTGAAAAAAAGTAAAATAAATATACAAATAAATAACACGTGCCCATTTATTTTAATACGGGTGATTCACTATAGTGCGCCTCCAAAAGTTTGCAACGCGTTGGCCAATCACAATGCGCGAAATCAGTCGACCTTTTGCAAACGCGCATTGGGTCGACTGATTTCGCGAATTGTAATTGGCCAACGCGTTGTAAACTCTTGGAGGCGCACTATTGTGAATCGCACGTATTGTACATTGGTTGTTGTTTGTTTGCTTGGGGTGGGCTGTTGGGGTGTTTGTTTATTTGTGTTTTTTGAGGGTGTGGGCAAGGGCGGATTTTTGTGGGCCAAAAAAAAAATGGATTCTAGATGCTCTGTGGTGTGTTCTGAGGCAATTTCTGATCACTTTAACCAATTTTTTTTTAGGAAAAGATGGTGGTGTACTCATTGCCTGCCTTTATAGTCAGGTGGCTTAGATCTAATTTTCGTCAAGATCGTGACCGACCGGTCCAAAGCACCAAACTTGGCAGATAGATTCTTATAGACCTAGAGATGATATTTAGAAGGGATGACACCTGAAATTTCTTTTGGGAAGGGTGCCTAATTTGCATAAATCGTTAATCCCTGTCGTGTAATATATTTATTCCCATATTTTGGTATATTTCTATTTTTTTAAAGTGTATTTTGGGGATTCTACTTACATATCTTTACTTACATAACATTTTCCAAAGCATATAAGTGACTGAATAATTATGAGGACATAGTAACGATCCAAAATGGCTACTATTATGCCCTAAAATTGCGCGCATTTACCTTGTCTCAAGATATCATCAATTAGTCTTGCCAAACATCAGCAATGATGAACTTCAAATTCACCAAGTAGCTTACTGGTACAGTTACCCTATTAAAACCTTATGCAAAATCATGTGAACAATGATAACATTGTGATATTAAGCCCAGAAAACAAACAATGGAAAAAACCAAGTGTCCATAAATTAGGCTAACAAGTAGGTGAAGGGTTGCCTAGCATGGAACACTGGAACAAGTTCAAGGAAATTCCCAAAATTATTGTTGAGAAAACGTTTTGGCGTAGACAAAATTACTGAAAACAACAATAATCTCTTATTTAGGGGGATTTCGTTGAACTTGTTCAAGTCCCCACGTTACCCTTCCCGTAAAAGCCCAATTTACGGACACCACATTTTCTCCCCTTTTTTTGGTCTTTTGGGCTAAACATCAAGATGTTTTTTTAATTTTCACTTGATTTCCCACTAAATTTTGTTAGGGTAACTATGCCAGTAAGTAACTTTCTGAATTTGAAGCTCATCAATACCCACGTTTGGCGAGACTAGTTGATGATATCTGAGGAAAAGGTAAATGCGCGTAACTTTAGGGTAAAAATAGTACCAATTTTGGTTCTTTACTATGTCCTCCTAATTATTTAGTCACTTATATGTTTTACAAAATGTTATTGAGGTAAGAATATGCAAGTAGAATCGCCAAAATACACTTTAAAAAAAAAATTAACCCGAATATGGGAATAAATATATTACACGGCAGGGATTAACGATTTATGCAAATGAAGCACCCTTCCCAAAAGAATTTCAGGTGTCACCCCTTCTAAATATCTTCTCTAGGGCTATAAGAATCTATATGCCAAGATTGGTGCTTTGGACCAGTCGGTCACGATTCCGACCATGTGCCACCTGACTATTACTGCAAAGTCACTAAAATAATATTTTGATTCTTTTTTTTATTATATTATATATATAGAGAGAGAGAGAGAGAGAGAGAGAGAGAGAGAGAGAGAGAGAGAGAGAGAGAGAGAGAGAGAGAGAGAGAGAGGGGAGAGAGGGGGAGAGGGGGAGAGGGGGGAGAGAGAGAGAGAGAGAGAGAGAGAGATATATATATATATATATATATATATATATCCAATGAAATCGTCTTCTATCACAATTCACAGTGCTCGATACATCTCTGTAGAGCTATAAACATGCAATAAATTCAGCATATTAGTTAAACAAACTTTGGCATATCTCTTTCTGAACAGACTGTTTCGTACCATAAGGCACTCATCAGCAGAATGACGAAAAATAGAATACAAGTAGCATCTTACCTTATTTCGAATCAAGCGCGCGCACGCGTTACGCGCGTTACGTCATTGAAGTTAGTACGCGTTTACGTCACTGAAGTAAGAACACATCTGTCTCGATGCCTGCACTTGGAGACGATTTCGCTTCTCTTATTCAGTGTACCTAGATCTGGCCTACATATGATTATGTACTTCTCTGCTATACACCAATTGCATCTCTTGTTTACGTTAGAGTATGGCAGTGCTTTCAGAACTATGTCCCATTTGATTTCATAGTCTTTCCCTTCGTCCTTTAAGTCCCATATATGTTTACTTAGCTCTGTTTGCGCCCTCTTGCTCTCGGATCTGAATGACTGCTTGTGGTTCGCCAGTCTCGCCTTGAAGGTTGTGGACGTCAGCCCGACGTATGCCTCCTTCCTGCCTTCGCTCGTGACGGTGGCCTGGTACACTATGTTCTTGCTGAGGCACTCCCCGTTCAGCGGGCATTCGGCATTGCGGGGACAACTGCATGTTCTACCACCGACGTCGTCCTCCTGTTTTACCTTCCGTTTGTTGATTGACTGGATCGTTGCCTTCATGTTCGGCATGCAGCTGTACGATAACTTTACTGTGTTCCGGTTGAGCACTTTGTGAAGCTTATGTTCCTTGGGGAAGCATTTGTCTATTATCTGAAGGAATTTCTTTCCAATGTTGGTACGTACGTTCTTGTTGTATGGCGGGTTGTACCATGTCACCTCCCTTTTTCTAGTCCTTTTCCTGGTGTTATTGCCCGGTGTGTATGTCAACCGATACTTGTGCCCGCTTTTTTGCAGAGCCTCCTGGTAGGCCGGGGCAGCTTTCTCGAATGCCTCCTTGCTCGACGAGATGTTGGAGAGTCGCTTGTTGATTCCCTCTGGTATCTGTTTGATGACGGCGGGTGGATGGTTTGACTGGACATGTACATAGAGAGGTACATTACCTGGTTTCATGTATGGCTTGTACCCTCCCGTTCGCAGGTCTAATGTGATGTCAAGGAAGTTTACTGTTGCCTTGTTGGCTTCGATCGTTACCTTTAAGTCATTTTCCCGGAATACTTGGCATATTTCCTTCTTGATGTTTTCTATTTTCTTGGGGGTCTCCTTGAATACTGCCAGACCGTCGTCCCTGTATAGTCCCACTCTATTTCCGTACTTTGGCTTCAAGATCGACAGCAGATATGCTACGACCAGCTCGCATGACTCCGCGCCGTCGAAACTGCCCATCGTGACATCGAATTTGCTGTCTGCATTACGCTTTTTCCACGGTACCTGGTCGTTGAATACCACTGTCTGTTTTGCGTGGATGATGATATCTTTCTCCTTGCTGCTAATGTTCTCGTAGTTTTCCGCGAACCCTAGGGCCTTCAGGAGAAGCTTTTCCGTTATCGAGGGGTAGAACTCCACAATGTCGAAATTTATGAAGCTCGATTCTTGCTTGTTTGGGATTTTCTTATACCAGTCCAGTACGGCGTCCGTGCTTTTCCACAGGTTGAATCCTGTCGCGCTTATGACTTTACCGACGATTCTGTCGAGGATCACTTTACTTATATGTCCTATCTCTGATTTGGTTGGGCTGATTAGTCGACATGATGGTTTGTTATCGAAGTTGTCCTTGTGGTCCTTCAAAGTAATGAAGACTTCCCTCTCGGCCAATTTATCTATGCGGTCGCCCAGTCCAAGACTTTTAGCAATTCTTTTCGCTTCGCGATTGATTTCCGCTACTTCCTTTTGCTCGGTTTTCTTGTATGTTTTGGTGACATTCGCCCTGACAAGATTTACATAGTCATCTTTTTCCATCTTGTAATAATTTGTAGTCTTATCAGCCTTGACGGTAAGCTTATCATCATTCCTAATCGTATTTATGTCTTCGTTTAATTTGCGTTGGAACTGGCTAGTGGTCTTCTCAAATTCGACGTTTTGAATCAGACTCACCAAATTGTCTTCGAATTCTCTCAGTTCCGGAATGACTGGTGGTGTTTTCCGCGAGTCAAATCCGTACGTTTCCTCCTTCTCCGCCTTGTCTTTGTTCAGCTCCGGATTCAGAAAGAAGAATGATCTCCATCTAATCCTTTTGATGAACATTTCCGTTTTCTCGATCAGGCGCTTGAGGTATGTTGTTCTCGATGCTACCGGAATATTCTTCGTCGAATATTCAAAGTTCACTCTTTCCATTTTGAAGTGCGACGTCAGGAGAGTGCTCAACTATAAAAATAGGAGCTAGTATATCCAATGAAATCGTCTTCTATCACAATTCACAGTGCTCGATACATCTCTGTAGAGCTATAAACATGCAATAAATTCAGAATATTCTCTTTCTGAACAGACTGTTTCGTACCATAAGGCACTCATCAGCAGAATGACGAAAAATAGAATACAAGTAGCATCTTACCTTATTTCGAATCAAGCGCGCGCACGCGTTACGCGCGTTACGTCATTGAAGTTAGTACGCGTTTACGTCACTGAAGTAAGAACACATCTGTCTCGATGCCTGCACTTGGAGACGATTTCGCTTCTCTTATTCAGTGTACCTAGATCTGGCCTACATATGATTATGTACTTCTCTGCTATACACAAATTGCATCTCTTGTTTACGTTAGAGTATGGCAGTGCTTTCAGAACTATGTCCCATTTGATTTCATAGTCTTTCCCTTCGTCCTTTAAGTCCCATATATGTTTACTTAGCTCTGTTTGCGCCCTCTTGCTCTCGGATCTGAATGACTGCTTGTGGTTCGCCAGTCTCGCCTTGAAGGTTGTGGACGTCAGCCCGACGTATGCCTCCTTCCTGCCTTCGCTCGTGACGGTGGCCTGGTACACTATGTTCTTGCTGAGGCACTCCCCGTTCAGCGGGCATTCGGCATTGCGGGGACAACTGCATGTTCTACCACCGACGTCGTCCTCCTGTTTTACCTTCCGTTTGTTGATTGACTGGATCGTTGCCTTCATGTTCGGCATGCAGCTGTACGATAACTTTACTGTGTTCCGGTTGAGCACTTTGTGAAGCTTATGTTCCTTGGGGAAGCATTTGTCTATTATCTGAAGGAATTTCTTTCCAATGTTGGTACGTACGTTCTTGTTGTATGGCGGGTTGTACCATGTCACCTCCCTTTTTCTAGTCCTTTTCCTGGTGTTATTGCCCGGTGTGTATGTCAACCGATACTTGTGCCCGCTTTTTTGCAGAGCCTCCTGGTAGGCCGGGGCAGCTTTCTCGAATGCCTCCTTGCTCGACGAGATGTTGGAGAGTCGCTTGTTGATTCCCTCTGGTATCTGTTTGATGACGGCGGGTGGATGGTTTGACTGGACATGTACATAGAGAGGTACATTACCTGGTTTCATGTATGGCTTGTACCCTCCCGTTCGCAGGTCTAATGTGATGTCAAGGAAGTTTACTGTTGCCTTGTTGGCTTCGATCGTTACCTTTCAGTCATTTTCCCGGAATATATATATTGGATATATATATATATATATATATATATATATATATATATATATATATATATATATATATAATTTTTTTGGAGGGGGGATGGCCCCATCCCCCCCCCCCCCTCCCCCTGGATCTGCCTTTGGGTGTGGGTGTTACAGAACAGTACCATCAAATAGATTTCATCGCTGTTTCCCCGGCCGATAGTCATTTTTTACCCGAGAATGATAATGTATGCAAATAAGGGCCATGAGGCGGAAGCGAAAGCGGCCCATTGAACAGGGTCCAAACATTTGGGACATTTCTGTCCATGTGTCCAGGATTTGTCGTTTTTTTTTCCTTGAGAGAAGTCTCTAAAATCGTCATAAGTAATACTATCCGGCATAGTTTCTTTGGGTACACACGACGACAAGGGAAATTTGCAGTGCTCCTTTCCGCACGTGTGAAAGAAAAATACATGTGATTCGGGGTATCATCCATCAAATTTGGGCGGAAACGCATCGTCACGCGGTACGCGTATGTTTTTTTCTGGGAGGGTTGGGGCCAAGTCATGCATAATTCAGTTTGTCCTTTGAATCAATGCAAGACACTTAGGTTCTCATTCTCTTTTTCCCTTAAATAAAAATTATCTCAAATTTAGAGAAGAAAAATAGTCCCTGAAAATGAGCAGCGACGACGAGGATTCGAACCAAGGATCTTTGTATACATAGCTCGCTCATCTCGTTATCCACTAGGCTGTGGTAGCTCAACGACGACCGTTCTTTAAAATGCTTTAATGTTACTGGTTGACTTAATAACAGCAATGCTCTTGATATCATTGTTCTGTTCTCATGAATAAACATGCTGGGCCGAACGAAACATCGAATTATTTATGACTTGGCCCCAACCGTCCTTGGAATAGCAATTACGCACGCGGTACACTGTTCAGCCCACGATTCGGCCCAAAATTTGATGGTTCCTCGAATCACACAGGATTTTTTTCACTAGCGCGGAGAGGAGCCCTACTATTAATTTTCCCTGTCATCGTTCGCCGGCATGGGACGAAAACATTTTTTAAAGTGTGTATTTTGTGCAAAAAAAAAACCAACAATTATGCTGGATAGTATTACTTTTGAGGATTTTAGAGAACTCTCTCAAGAAAAACAGCAAGAAATTGACAAATTGAGAGAAAATGACTCGAATGTTTTGACCCTGTACATTTTCAATGGACCCGCTTACGAAGCCACTTTCCATAAATGCGGGTTGTTACAGTTCATCAACAAGTTTGATTCGTAGATTGTCTGAATAATGTATGTACTTACTTTGCATTTGTTTTCACATGGTACAGTCTCTATTCCCGTACTGTCGAAACCGGGCTCCATGCAACCTCTTTGTCCCACCATCATTTCGCCCATTACGGTGTAAGTGCAGTTGTAACACTGAGCATCAGCGCCACGACCGACTAGAAACGTAATTAACAAAACAAATATCTCAAATTAGTATAGAATCAAGGTTTCTGCGGCCGACATCACACTTGATCATTTACGTGAACAGGTTGATTATGATCGAAGTGTTTCGTTTAATCTCACAGGTTCTATCTTTAGAACAAATTATGGTAAATCAGAAATACCCAATTCGTACGTTTATCTAAAAACTGGTGTTGAATTCAACACTTAGATGAGTTCAGTCAGTGACCACACTTTGAAAGTGTTAAATCTAGCATTTTAAATGTTAAAGCCAACGCTTACAATGTTAATTCAACATCTTAAATGTTGTTAAGTCTTAATTCAACACTTTCAAAGTGTTAAAGTTGAAAAATGTTGAACCAAAACTTCAGTTAAAATGTTGAATTAACATAGTAAGTGTTGGCATTAACATTTAAAAAGCTGGATTTAACACTTTCAAAGTGTGGTCACTGACCGAACTCATGTATATTGAATTCAACATTTCAGTGTAATCAATTATTCATGACAAAAATGCATGTTTTCATGATGACATTTAGCTTTGTGATAAGAACATTGTGATTTGGAAACTGAGTGGCGAAGTCGGGATAGGCGACCATTTCTTATGCTAACAGGACAATGAAATAACACTAGTGTCGTTTAGTTTGATTTTAAATATACAAACAAAAAGTGCATTACCCGGCCAGAGGGAAGTTTACCAAATTAGAATCAAATGTCTCAAATCAAAGAGTATTGTTACCAAGTTTGGTTGAGAGTGAAGTCTGCTTTTACAGCTCGATCGATTACTTTTTGTTCACTTCATTCAGTACCGTTGATAGTTAAAACATTTGCTAGCCCGTAGATCAAGCTTGTTATATAGTAGGATTTGAGAAGAGTATCACATACATGTGTGTGGTATTCGCCACCAATCATCGATATCCTGTGGTACTTCTGTTGTACTGTACTAAATACCACACACACAACCACAGATCAGTGGAATTGGAGGGGAGTACCACATAAATGTGTGTGGTACCTTCGATATCCTGTGGTCCTTCTGTTGTACTTACTAAATACCACATAAACTACCACAGGTCAGTGGAATTGGAGGAGAGTACCACATAAATGTGTGTGGTACCTTCGATATCCTGTGGTACTTATGTTGTACTGTACTAAATACCACACAAACTACCACAGGTCAGTGGAATTGGAGGAGAGTACGACACAAATGTGTGTGGTACCTTTGATATCCTGTGGTACTTATGTTGTACCATGCTAATTACCAAATAAAAAAAATGTTTCTCGTCCAAGTTTTTGAAAAAAAGAAGGAAGCTGAGAGGAACTTGATTTTTATTTTTTATTTTTGTCAAGATGGCCACCATTTTAAAATTTCCTGCAACCGTTGGTTTTTCCACTGTTCCAAAACACTTTTAAAATGAAAGACAAGTTGAACAAGAGAACCGAACACATTTACAGTCATTTGGAGTGGTATGGTCCACAATGAACAGTTTGTATATGCTTTAATCGTGGCCTCCGAAAAGGAAGCAGGCAGGGATGAGAAACATGTTTTTTTTTTTTGTTACTTCGCCTTGCATATACATGTATGTGCAACTTTTAAAAATACGATAGTAATGCTACCACATAAATTACCAAAGGAAAAGATCGAGACTACCATCCAATATACATTGTACATTAAATATAACTAAAACACAAATAAGAACACACGGAAATAAAGACATATTGCCCCAATACATGTATGTGCTGTCTACTGAACAGTACATGTACAAAAATGTACATAAAGCCCAATGCATACTTACATGCACAATGTACATGTGTATTGCAGGGTACATTGTATCCTGTTCCCAACAACCACACGTGTGACCTTGTGTGCCTGTGTAGTGCGTGACCCATGCATGACCCATGTGTGATTCCATACACATTCGCTCGTACCCCCCGCCCTGCAAACAGAACGCTGTTTCATGGAGGAAGGAATAGCTTCCTCCATGCTCTGATGAGCTTCACAGAATCTTGTGAAGGAAGTGGCCTATGACCTATGTATAAAGCATCTGGCTGCAGCTGTTCAAGACCGCAGTTAGACAATGTGCGCAAATGTTATCCGAAAACGTCCCATAGAATTGCGCACATTCCATACCGGAGGTGATTTCTGTTTCATTGCGAACCATGTGGACAAAATTTTGAGCGTGGCATAATGCACTCCGACCGTTCGTGATTCGAAACGGAGTCTGAGCGTGTGACGGGAATTGTAAATTTACAACACAGATAAGTTTTACAGAATTTCCTACATTATAACGCTTTTTCAACGAGAAAACCATCTCTAAACCGGATAAAAAGATTAATGAATCAGTCTTAACGGCCGTTTCAAATCTTGCAGAGTCATGACCTTGATGACGCGCAGGTCACTGGTCACGCAAAATCTAATTAATCAGAGCGCGAATTCATCAGAGTATCCCAGCGTCCTGTTTGCGGAATTTAAAAAAAGCGGAACCCAAACCCCAAAAGTTATATTTCCTATTTAAAAAAAAAAATATGTAGCACCAACAATAATTATAGCTTAATTGCAAAGGCTATCATTTCAGATAAAAAAATACTGAAATTACCTAATCCGTTCAAAGAATATCATCATTTATACTCAATAACCCTGACCCGTTTCGTCCAAACAAACAACAACCCAGTTTATGGTGTATTCTTACTGTTTGGAACAACAAAGAACATGACACAGAACACTTGTTTAAATTGCACCGTGAAGGTCTGGACATTTCCAGGCAAGCAAAAAGTTGACAATGGAACTGGTCAAATCATAGCTCTAGGACTTGACAAGGGACGCCTAAAGCTGGGTTCTATAGATAGGGTCATTGCGTGCATTAGTTTGGGCCAGAGTGGACTGAGGCAAGTCTAATAGTGACAGTGAGTAGGTGAGTCAGTCAAATCATGAGATAAATACAAATTAGAGTATTGGCAGGCCATCTGGCCGTACCATGATAATACTAAACAAACTGTATATGCAGAGATAAAAGAAAAAAAAAACGATTGCGTTGTGACTTCAACGCTGTAAGTAGCGAACTATTTTCCCACACTGTTGGAAAGCTGATGAAATACCCTTTTCACTGAAGGTACAAATTTCTCGATTGGCCAATTCTTCAACCCGTAGAAATTAAGATCCTATCGTTGCGTCTGTTATTGAGGCCCACTTCAACCCTTGGTATATACTTGCAAGTTTATACAGGGTGTTTCAATGAAAAGGAAACCCAACTTTTGATGAACCAGTATGGACATACCAAATGTTTACTGGCTATGACACTGGTATCATCTGAAAGCGTAATCTATATGCTTTTCAATGATACCTTGTTTACATTTCTAGGGTCATGCATTACTGAGCGCCACTGGCTTGTTCTTAGACCTTTCTAAGGCCTTTGACACTATTAACCATGACATTTTACTTTCAAAACTTAACAGGTATGGTGTTAGGGGGAAGACCCTGGACTGGTTTAGAAATTTTCTTTGTGACAGGAAACAGTTTGTTGAATGGAAAAATAATAAATCAACCCTTCAGTCAGTTACTTGTGGCGTACCACAAGGCTCAATCTTAGGTCCATTACTCTTCCTTATATATGTAAACGATATTTGTAACTCTTCGAAATTGTTATCTTTTATTTTATTTGCGGATGACACAACCGTTTTCCTTAGTCACTCTAATTTAAATGAGCTTGTTTTAATTATAAACAAAGAACTTAAGAATGTCTCCATGTGGTTTGAATGTAACAAATTGTCGGTAAATGAAAAGAAAACATGTTTTATGTTATTTTCAAAAAAGTACATTGATGTTGACATTAATATTTATATTAATACATCTTAGATAAGCCAAGTAGATCATTTCAAATTTGTAGGTGTCATAATTGACTGTAACCTTTCATGGAAATTACAGTGCCAAAAGGTTCACACATCCATTTCCCAGTTATTGGGTGTACTACGTAAGCTTCGACATACACTACCTAGAAATGTCCTCTTCTCTATTTATAATACACTTGTATTACCCCATCTTCAATATGGAATTCTAGCATGGGGAAATACCCATAGTACTTATTTAAATAAATTATTAATTGTACAGAAGAAGCTGATGAGAGTCATCACAAACTCCGGTTTAAGAGAACACTCTGCGCCCCTTTTTAGACAATATAAAACACTGAATATATTTGAACTGTACAAATACCATCTAGGAATCTTAATGTTTAAATTCGAAGGCAAACTACTACCTACAGATATCAGGTCCATGTTTGTGAGGAATCTAGATGTCCATTTACATAACACAAGATCAGCCAAAAAAATTCACATTGGCAAGGCTAGGACCACATCATTCATGAAAACAGTTAGACACCAAGGCCCTCTTCTTTGGAATCAGCTAACCCTTATACCCTTCTTTTGGACTGTGCATAAATTCAAAAGATATTTAAAAAACCTACTAATTTCCGGTATTATATAAGACGTGCACCCATAATTCGCATTTGTACAAGTCACACTCCATCATAGTCAAATGTTATATTGTAAATAAATACATGCATATTTCAATTTCCATCAGTTTTTCGACTATTATGCCAAGTAAATAATTAATTTATTAATTTATTGACCACTGTTTTAAATTATATCCATAATTGCTGTTCATTTCATACGTTATTCACTAACGGGACCAGGCTCTGTATAAGCTTAGGCTTTTTTCCTGGTTCCCCCATCTGTCACCACTTATGTTAAATTGATCAAAGTGTTGTACATGTATTATTATTCTAGTAAGTTAAGTTATTGTTGTAGTAAATAATCTGTTGCATTTGCATTATATTAATTTGTGACAAATGGAAATAAAAACAATACAATACAATACAATTTTGATGCAAAATTGCAGTTGGTTCACTTTCATGTCAAAACACAATAGGCATAGTGTGCATGATAATTAGGTATTCAAGAAGATGTCACGAGTGCTTAAAAAGAAACCAACAAACAAGTCGGGTTGGTT